TGCTGTTATCTTCCCACCAAAGTGGTAGCTATTAATCTACTTGCATTTGCATGTTTCCCAACTGCTAGGTGGTGGACAGGAGCTGGGGCAAGTAACAGGAGCTCACCTGTCACATGGAGCTTGGGGTCTCAAACCCGAGCTGTCAGCTCTCTAACTAGCTTGGCGTCTTTAACCACTGAGCTATCGTGCCCCCTCAGATGCCAGTATGCTGGGCACAATCTCTTCCATCTTCTTTTTAACATACAAGCTCCAATGAGCTTAATTTCAAAGTCTGGCCCATTATAGTGGGAAGCTTCCATTATAGTCAATTTATGTGAGGCTGGAGAAAACCTGCCTTTGCATTAATAAACAGAGTGATTTCTTATACTTCACATTTTCCAACTATGTTTTTCTCGCTATTACATGATAGTGCATCACCATACTTCTGCAGCTAATTAAACCCACCATCCAAGATGAGCTTTTAAAATTAATTTCACCCGCCCAATCATCTCAGATCAATGGTTTGTTTTGTTCGCCAGGCTGTATTTAGCTGTGCTCTTCTGCTAATGCAATAAATATTGCTGCTGTATTGAATTTCCTTTTCCATGTTATTCTCAAATCTACATCAAGGGCATGAATAGAAGTTGACTTAATGAATTTTTTTTTAAAGAGAGCAAAACATGGAATTAAATCCACAGAAATACTTGGAGAAAAGGAGGAATCAACTTTAATTTGCCCAATGCAAATTAACTGAAATACAAAATGGCATTTGGACACATGTTACATATCCACATAACAAATTTTCACATTAGTCACCTGACCGAGACAATACTCAATGGAGGCAGTCTTTCAAAACACTTCAACCACATCTGGAGACTTGCAAACAGAAATACAAGCAACATTCAAACCATTCAGAAACAAACCACTTTGGCTTCGAACAATCAAATCATCTGATTGTTAACACACATAATGGTTTGCTATTGAAGGGTAACAGGTTTGCACTCAATGGTAGCAAATTATTGCAGTTAAACCTATTATACAGTAGCCTCCAAAATTTCATGTAACAGTGCATATAAAGATATGACAATCTGAATGCTTGCAAAAAAAAATGGAGCAGAGAGCTTTAACCGAAGTCAGGTGTTAGAAAGTTGATATGTTCAAAATTAACTGAATATTGTTGCAAGCTAGAAACATAATGCTAAATAAACGTCACAATTATTTCAAAAGGATTACATACCAGGTCCCCGCCTACCTGTATAGCCATATTTATATAATAAAAATTAATTTTCATGGAGTGCTAGCAAGTTAAAAACACTACTAGTTTAATTATTATCTAAGATTTCATAATTTCCAAATCATTTATCAGAGCTTATACAGAAAGAAAAGTAGGGCTTAGGATAGCCATCTTTTACTAAACAAAAAAGACAATGCATACTGAAATTCATAAACTAATGATCTGAGGCAGTCTGGTAGCTTTCTACATTTCTACCAGTTGTATCAACCCAAAAAAGGTTAGATAATCTGTAAAATTCTTAACTCCCTTGTTATTGTTGTCAACTCTCAAGCGTCATTTCTGTTATAATGTGAATTTGGCCAAGCCCCTTTTTTATGACAATACATCTTAGCTATATGCACAATATCTGATGCATGATTTCACACATGCACAAATACTGACAAGTTTTATTATCATAAGTGTGTTAGCCTCTAATGTGCATAAAATTGTTTTCTGACAAATATTACTTTTATTTTGGGAAAGAAGTCTATATTTTACTTTACAAGCTGTTTCTATCATGGACAAGTTCAAATTAGCCCAAGACTAGTTAGTCCATGAGTCATGAAAGGGCAGAGTTTGAAGACCCCTGAGCTAGAAACTGGGACCCCTTGAGTTCTAGTTTCACCTCTCTCTCAACCCTAAGAAGCTGACAATGGCAAACCACTTCCAAAAAACCTTGCCAGAAAAATTACCAGGACTCTTCCAGGCAGCCACCCGGAATCAACCTTGACTGGACTAGATGACCTCCAAGGTCCCTTCCAACTTTACTACTATTACTATAAGTCACCACTTACTCGCACACAGAGAGACCAAGCAATATCATGGTTAGGTTGAGAAGTCTCCAGTTTAGAAGCTTCAATCCTAAATTTGCTATTCAGCATTAGAGAAATTGCTACTTTAATAGTATCTTCTTCCTTTACAAAAAGCAACAGTTAGCAACAGAATTGCTACTAAGTAGGGATATTGGAAATAATTACAGGAAATGAATAAAAATACTATTATAATGCTAAGTAATGACAGACTTAAATTAAAGAAATATTTATGGCATATATGGCAATATTTTCAGCAATTATATGTTTATAAGAAAAGAAGAGGAAAGCATCAAACTGGCATGAGAATATAATGATTTCTGTACAATTTTAAATGTTTCATTCCTTTTGCATCCTTTAACTTCTGAAAAAAGACATTTAAATAATTAAATTAATGATGATCAGGAAGACAGAATATCAATGGTAGTTCAATAATCAAGACTTCCATTTAAAAACACAACAGTTAATTTGTAGTTGAATGAGAGCAATATGGCAAAAAAATGCAATTAATCATTGCCAGGTGCTGAACATTGGGCCCATCATTTACCCTGGTAAATGGAAGTATTAATTTTTTTGAGAGAAGTGAAAAAACTCAAGCAGAATCCACACAAACGTAAAAAAGAAAGTTGATTTCTGAATTACATTTGGCAAGCAAAAGTCACTGGGATGCTGAATTACAATTCATGTGGCTTACTGAAAGAATTGTGTCAAGCTTTTGCTAGTAATTCTCAATGGAATTAGCAAATATTCCTAGTAGTATCTGAATTTCATTCAATAAAAGGGGGGGGGAATAGACAGGAAATTAAATATTGTCTAGATTCCCAAGGTCAGTTCACACACTTTACTTCCATAGAAAAGTGTGTCATTTTACAAAGTTCAGGCCAGGAAACACCTGTCCTATGTGTATTTCACTTACATTAGTTCTATAACATACACCAGTTCTATAACATAAATCAATGTAATTAACCTCCTGTTACAAAAGAGGGAGAGGGAGGGAGGGAGAGGGAGGGGGTGGCGGCACTGAAGGACAAAAGCTATCCTGCAAAATCATGGCTAACACGCAGACTAAAAGTTTCCACGCTCAGCTTTCTGAACAGGTATATTTGACAGGTTTCTTAGTAAAGAGGTCCAGTTACATCTATTACAATAAATATTCCACATGAAAAAAAAATCAAGGGCAGTTTTAGAACCATGAACACATTCTCCAAGAGAATGATTACTGAGGTTCCTTACTATCCCTTTTTGAAAGCACTTAAATTCCTTCTGACGTTTGAAGGAATCCTCAATGGAAAAATCCTCAGATACTATCTAAGTGCACTTTAAGAATCCCCTTAAAGGTTTTTAATACAGACTACGTAGGGCACCTCTCCAAGAAGTCTTGAACAAAATCTATCCTTCCCGTCAAGCCTCATAAAGTCTGTTTGGCCAGGCCAATTTTTGAAAACATAGACTATCTATGTTCCCATGTGAAATTTATTCTGTCAAATATTAACAGCACTGCTTTAACAGAAAAAACCAGTTATGTATAATATATTCCTCCGAAATAGTTTTAAACAAGGTGCGTCCAGAAAAAATCCAATTATTCAACAACCTAAAGAAAAAATAACCATCAAATCCTTAATGAGGGTTATAGATTTGAAAATCTCCATCTCCTACGAGCTGCAGGAGGGAAGGATTCTGCCTTCTTTAGAAGATCCCCTAAATTCCAACCAGCAAGAGGGGAAAAAAAGCCCACAACCAACCAGCTTTCACCAATTCCACTGCAATGCCGAAACAATCAGAACTCAAATGTCTGCGGGGCATTTTTGCCAAGACAGCAAAGCGAGAAATGAAAAGAGGGGACAGGATTTCTCCAACCCACCAAATTGGGGAGATGCCAGGAAGGATTCTACCCCCACCCACCCCCAATCTTCCCAGGAAAAGGAAAACTAAAAGGGAGAGACACTCAATCCACAACAGCAGGAACTGTTTCAGTACTGTTAGCCATGGTGTTGTTGGTCATCCTGTTTGAATGTCAAGGCCCAAATAAGGCCTTCCTTTACCTGGCCAGCATAGCCCTTTGAAAGGTGAGTCCCACCTGTCCTCAGCCCCCCCCCCAAGGAAAGGAGAAAGGAGGACCACCAGCAGTACAACTGTAACCTTCTCCTCTTCCTCCAGGGCCCAGAAGACCTGCCTCTCCATCCAAACAAGGCTGGAGGGGAAGGAAAAGGAGGAAAGAAGAGAAAGAGAAGGAGAGGAAGAAGAAAGCGGGCAAGGAGAAAGAAAAAAGAGGAAAGAAGAGAGGAAGAAAAAGGAGGAAAGTAGAGGTGGAAGGAGCAGGAAAGGAAGAAATGGGAGAAGGAAAGAAGAGGGGAAGAAAAGAAAGAAGAGAGGAAGGAGGAGCAAAGGAAAAGAAAAGGAAGATGAGAGGAAGGAGGAGAGGAAGAGAGGACGGAGAAAAAGAGGGGGAGGAGGAACAGAGAAAAAGAAGAAAAAGGAAGAAGAGAGGGAGGAGAGGAAGAGGGGAAGGAGAAAGAAAAAAGAGGGGACGGAGGAACAGAGGGAAAGAAGAAAAAAGGAGGAAGAAAGAGGGGAAGGAGAAAGAAAGAAGAGGGGAAGGAGAAGCAGAGGAAAAGAAGAAAAAGGAGGGAAGGAGGAGGAGAGGAAGAAAGAGGGGAAGGAAAGAAGGGGAAGAAGGGGGAGAAAAGCCTCGCTGCTCCAGAATCCGCCCGCACGCCACATGCGCGGGACTACAACTCCCATCACCCCAGCCCGCCCTCCAGACAGAGGCGAGGCCACCGCCTGGGGCCGGGGATGATGGGCGGCGGGGCCCTTAGCAGAGCCACCCCAGCAGAGGCGCCGGCTCCCCCTGCTCGGCCCAGCAGGACGGCGCCGGCCGTTGTCGCCCGAGGGCGGGGGGGGGGGGGCGGCGGCGGCAGGCGGCGCCCCGGCGTCTCTACCTGTGAGGCGGATTTTGATGCTGGAGCCGGCCCTGCGGGTGCCCGCGTTCGACATCGCTCCCCGCAGACGGACCCACGCGCAGGGCGGGAGGCCGGATCAGCCGCCGGCCACGGCCGACCCCATCCGCGCTTCCGTCGTCGTCTGGCAGGCCCGACCTGCCTCGCTCGATCCCGGCCGGCCTCTCCCCTTCCTTCCGTCCGTCCTTCCGTCCTTCCCTTCTTCTTCAGAAAAGAGCCGGATTCCCTTTTTTAAAAAAAAATACAAGAATTGTCATCCTCGCTACGGAGCGAAGCCGCCTCCGGTTCGCCTCAGACGGAGAAGCAGCAGCAGCGGCGGCGGCGGAGGCGGCGCCGCCTCACGGAGCTCGACGCCCGCCCCGCCGGACGCGAACGGCGACTGCGCGGGCTCGCGCCGCCCCTCCCAGCCAACCGCCCGCCTTCGCGGCAGGCCCGGCGCCGCCCACTTTTTTTTTTTTTCCCCTCTGTGGGTGGTGCGCGCGCGCGCGCCCGCTCTTGCTCAGGAGAAGGCGCGTCCCCGCGGCCATCTTGGGGAGGTCCACCTATATAATAAAGCTTCGCCCGCGAGCGAGCGAAGAGAGATAGGAAGGAAGGGGGCGGAGTCGCGCGTCCCTCTTGGGGGCGTGGCGGAGTGCCCGGCCTAGACTTAGAGGACTCCGGACTTGAAACTACCAATCCCGTCAGCCCCCGGGAAAGATGAGCCAATCACGGGCGGATTCTCTCTGGAGGGTCACAGGTGGCCCACACCTGAGGAGGAGATGCCTGGGACCAGCCTCCTAGTCCAGGATGATGGGAGGTGTGGTCCGTGGCATCTGGAAAGCAGGATTTGATGGAAGGAAACAAATAAAGAGTTCCATCAGGAGAGAGCCAGGGCAGGGAGAAAAATTGCCTTAATTCAGTGTTTTCCAACCTTGACAATTTTAAGGCATGTGGACTTCAACTCCCAGAATTCCACAGCCAGCATTGCTGGCTGTGGAATTCTGGGAGTTGAAGTCCACATGCCTTAAAATTGTCAAGGTTGAGAAACACTGCAATTACTGAGATTGCAAGAAGGATTCAGGCACTACTTTTGTTTTTAATATCTATAGGTGCAGTTAAGAGGGCTTCTAAGTCTGGAAAGCATCTTTTTCAAATCTGAGGGCTGAATATGGTCAATTTTCTTTTTTTTTTAAGCTGAGGATGTGAGATGTGCTCCTTTTTTTCCACCCCGCATTTCCAACCCAGTTGATTCAGAAGCTGGGCTGTCGGCTTGGTTAACTGTGGCTTGTAAAATAAATCAAAACTGGCTGGGTTTCCCTCTTCCTTCTCGCCCTCCTGGTTGTGTTTGCACAAGCTAAGTCACCCACCATATTTGCTCAATATATGAACAAGGTGCTGATTCACTGTGGAGTTCTGCAAGTTGAAGTCATGGTTCTTCAAACTTGGCCCTTTTATGATTGTGCAGCTCCCAGAATTCCTCAGCCAGCGTGCCCGGCTGAGCAATTCTGGGAGTTGAAATCCACAAGTCATTAAAGGGCCAAGTTTGGAGACCCCTGATATAACACATGGATACTTCTACAAGGCCAGCTGAAGAAGTCTCCTCTAGAGCTTATTGTTTTCACAGCAAGAAGAAAGAAAAGAGACAGTTTCTACAAAGCAGGATAGTGATTTATTATGACAAACAAATAAGACGTGTTAAACCCCTTTTTTTACCCCTCCCTCTTAGTGCTCACCCAAAAAGAGCTACCATCACCATATGTGAAGGCATGTAACAAGCTAAGCTCTTTCAGAAGTTGAAAAAGTCCTGCTGTTCGGCCACAAAAGGCAGCGTTTTCTTCTCTTCATTTTCAGGCTTTATGTCTTCAACTTCCTAACATCGATGGGAGGAAGAGAAGACAATATTTTCCTTGCAGACTTTTCAGATCTGTTGCTTTAACTCATATGCCCCCTTCCCCAAAATTCAAAATATTAACATTTGACGAAAGTTTGACACCCCTGTCATAGGGCATAGTTCCTCCATTATGCAAATAACACTTTGCTTAACTATGGTTTGAATAAACAACGGAGGCCAAGTGCATCTAATAGGCCCACGGTGTCAGTTCTTTGCAAATAGGTTGCAAATGCTTTATGACAGTTCACAGTTCAAAACAGTTCTCAGAGCAGTTTTGAAATTTCAGTAAATGGAGTTAGCCAGAGATTGCTCCCAATGGGGTTAAAAACCTGCTCGGAAGCTGGCAGCTTCCTAATGTTCGTTGGGTGGAGAAGGAATTATCCAGGTGATACAATGCTGTTAGTTCTCCTTTAAAGCTACATTTTTCAAACAGGAACATGGGGATTTGACACCAGCGTCCACTTACCTCTCCAGAAAAATATTTCTCAATGAGGGCTAGGGCAGCACGATAGATCAAGTTGTTCTCATGAGTCTGGAGAGCTTCGATCTTCTCCACACCTTCCAGCTCCTCAACCAGAAGGCCCAATTTTTCTGTCTCACCCAGCTTTTCAGCTGTCTGGTATAGAAAGAGAAAACATAAGTAGCAATAGCAATAGCGCTTAGATTTATATACTACTTCATGGTGCTTTTACAGCCCTCTCTAAGCAGTTTCGCCTTCCTTAGCCTTACCCGGAAGAAGTTGCCGAGACTGTCCAAGACCACAAGGATGGTGTTACTATCCTTGATGGACAACAGATTGAGCAAAGGCTTCAGGACCCCGGCCCGGATCATCGCCACCACTTGCTGCACCGTGCCGCCCGTCGTGAAATTGGCCACAGCCCAAACACCTTCTTTTTGAGCTTTGTAGTCTCCCTAAAGGCGCCAAAGGAGTACAGAACCTTAAGAAATAGATGAACTTGGCTCCTACAGGTAATACTCAACTGACAACCGGTGACTTAGGCACTGTTCAAAGTTGTAACAGACCCCAAAAAAGAGGACTTACGACTTGGATCTGAAGTTCAGATGGCTCCCCTATTTTCCCCTCCCCCCCCATGGTCACATGACCAGAGTTTGGGTGCTTGGCAACCCAGCTTCAAATGGCCATTTGCAGCATCCTGTATCCCAGGTTGTTTTACAACGGTTTTGTCAAAAAAAAAATGGCACTTGCTTCCGGTTTCAGCAAAACTGTGCCATAGGAAACAATGGGTTTGCTTAACGGCCACCACAAAAAGGTCACAAAATGGGTCGGTCACGTGACCCACCTATTTTACAACCATTACAACGTATGACCATAATGGGCAGGTTCCGTTACAGCCGTGACCTGACCTGTATCACAGTTATACACCTAACACGTTCACAAAAGCGCTCTGTTTGAGGCTGGTAGTTTCTTGGCAAATCTCTTTGACGGTGTTAAAATTCATTATCCAAAACCCCCAACTTTTAATACTTTTGGTGAAGCCGTTAGTGATTTAATTCTAGCTTCAGTTCTCATTATGTGCAGTCGCCCTAAACTGGAAAGAACTGCAATGAGCATCACGTATCCTGCTTCGAACACCTGCAAAAGGAGGCAATTTCCCCAAATTAATAACTAGAAACTTAGATTTTTGTCTCGTATTAAAAAAAAGCAAAATCCCAGGAAATGCACTATGTACATCCATATTAGATATTTCATTTTATCCAGACCAAATGGGGCACCTGTTAGTTGGCCTACGTCAATCTCTAACCATGACAAAGACCTTAAGTTGCAGGTTGGTTTGTGCATATATGCATATTCTGATCTGTGTACATGCATTGTTCACATACTTACAGGTAGTAAGTATATGAATAATGATTCAGCCCAAAATGTCTCTTGCTAAAGAGCGACATTTGTTAAGAGAGTTTTGCCCCATTTTACGGCTTTTCCTGCCACGACTGTTAAGTAAATCAGTGCAGTTGTTAAGTTAGCAACCAGGTTATTAAGTGAATCTGAATTCCCTTTGATTTTGCTTGTCAGAAGGTCACAAAAGAGGATCCCCCTCTTTTGTGACCCCCCCCCAGACACTGCAACCGTCATAAGTACATGCCAGTTGCCAAGCCTTTGAATTTTGATCACATGACCAAGGGGATGCTGCAAGGCTTGCAAGTTTGAAAAACTGTCATAGGTCACTATTTTCAGTACCGTCGTAACTTTGAAAAATCACTGAATCAACTGTTGCAAGTCGAGGACTATCTGCATTCTGATCTGTGTGCATGAATTGCACCTATATTTACAATCCACTTCCAATCCCAATGGTTCAAAACTCTACCTTGGCCAGCAACTCCACCAGAGGAGGGAGGAGCCCACAGGTGATAAGTTGTTGGATTTGGCTGCAGGGGCCAGCCGCAATGTTGCTCAAAGCCCATGCTGCCTCCTTCTGGACCGATGACTTGGGATGACGCAAGAGCTGCGGCAGGACGGACAGGATGCCCGCATCGATGGCCATCTGGGTCTGTTCGTCTGTCCCGGTGACCACGTTGCCTATAGCACGTAGAGCTGGGGTCTACAAAGATGTCCACAAAGAGAAAGACAAGACCATCACGGAGGTCCGCCACTAACGTTCCCACAAACGGAGTGTTTGGATAGATCAGGGGTCTTCAAACTTGGCCACTTTAAGACTTGTGGACTTCAACTCCCAGAATTCCTCAGGAGAATTCCACCAGGAGAAGGAGAAGACAACCACGGAGGTCCATCACTAATGTTCCCACAAATACTGTAGAATGTTTGATCTTCACGGGGGCAAATCCCTCCCTAGCCTAGCAATGCCTTCCCTTCAAGAAATCATTCTTGCTTACTAGAATGATGTGGCCTATAGAAGGGGTCCCCCAGCTTTTGGGCACCAGGGACCGGTTCCGTGGAGAGAGGTTTTTCCGTGGACCTGAAGGTGCGTGGTTTTGTGTGCTGCCTGCATCCCAAGGATGGGGCTTTGCTTGTTTGTGTGGACCGGTTGCTGGTGTGCCGCAGCCCGCTACTGATCCACGGACCAGGGGTTGGGGACCCCCTGGCCTATACTACATGGAAAAGACCACGACCACAGAGGTCCATCACTAATGTTCCCACAAAATGTTTGGATAGGTGATATTCACTGTGGGTGATCCCTCCCTAGCCTGGCAATGCCTTCCCTTCAACAAAATAAATAAAAAATCACTCTTCCTTACCAGAATGGGAAGTTCGGTGCTGTACAGGAGCTCTACCAGCCGAGAGAGGACCCCGGTCTCCACCACTAGCTGGATGCGATTGTTGGAGCCATCGGTCAAGTAGGACATCGCCCAACAAGTATCAGAGATAATGTCCTTGTCCTTATGTTGGAGGAGACAAGTGAGGGCGGGAAGCACCTGCCGCACAGCATCCAGGGGAGGGTGTGGGTTTTTGTTTCTGCAGAGATTGGACAGGGTCCAGGTGATGTTCCTCAGGAAGCCCACCTAAGAAAGAAGAGGGACGGTTTCTGGAATTGGGTATGTCTAGTTTAATGAAGAGAAGGACGAGGGGGGACATGATAACAGAGTTCCGTATCTCAGGGGCTGCCCCAAAGATGAGGGAGTCAAGCTATTCTCCAAAGCGCTGAAGGCAGGACAAGAAGCAACAGATGGAAACTGATCAAGGAGAAAAGCAACCTGGAACTAAGGAGAAATTTCCTGACAGTGAGAACAATTAACCAGTGGAACAACCTGCCTCCAGAGGCGGCGAATGCTCCAACACTGGAAGTTTTTAAGAAGAGACTGGACACCCATTTGTCCGAAATGGTATAGGGTTTCCTGCCTGAGCAGGGGGTTGGACTAGATGACCTCCAAGGTCCCTTCCAACTTTATTATTATTGTTATTATTATTATTATTAGGATGCTCATTGGTTGAAAGCAAGCAAGCAATCAAAAGAGAGAGAGAGAGAGAGAGAGAGAGAGAGAGAGAGAGAGAGAGAGAGAGTGAGAGAGAGAGAGAGAGAGAGAGAGAGACATGGGAACACATTTCCAGATTCCAGAGGATAAAACAGGAACCAAGAGAGCCAGCGAGCGATTACAACCCTTCCTGAACTTACAATAATTTGTTTCCAGGTTTCAACAGCCCCGGAAAAAGGTGCCTGGTCCTCGCAGTTACAACTGTTGCAGCATCCCCACAATCACAAATTCAGGCACTGGAAACTGGCATGTGTTTACACCAGTTGCAGCGTCCCAGGGTTAGGTGGTCGCCATTGGTGACCTTTTCCCAGCCAGTGACCGTCTGACAAGCCAAGTCAGATTCACTTAACCACCGCAGATCAACAGAACCAACTAACCCGACGGAACAGACTTTCTACATACCGGGGTCGAAGGCATCACCAGGGACAGGATTGGTGGAATCACACCAAAGCTGATCAAAGTATCCCGGCAGATCGGTCCATCTCCTAATGAAATAGTCACGGGAAGGAGAATTGTAGTTTCAAAACAAAAACAAAAAAAAGCAACGACAGGAAAGTCCTTGACTTACAACCGTTCAGTCTGTAACCTCAGAACAAGCCAGCTCTACCAACTTACCGGCAATATTGCCCAGGGCCCACACCGATTGCTCACAGATATGGCTGTGTGGCGAAGACAACAGAACCACCAAGCCCTGGATGCCATTGGCGTCGACCACAGCTTTGGTTTGCTTTGAGCTTCCTGAAGCAATGTTGGTGAGCGCCCAGGCAGCCTCAAACTGCAAATTGGGAGTATCGTGATAATACAAGAACTCCACCAGTTTAGGAATGATTCCAGATTCAATGACTTGATTGATTGGTGGATTCTTCTGCTTGGACAGCATCTTCCTGTTGGGAGAGAAGCCAGGTCAACCTTCAGGTGGCCTCGTCCTGCTGGGAGGACCACATCCCAACAGTGGCATTTCTCAAGGGACCTCTAGAATAACGGAGGCACCTTCAACATCTGAAGGTCCTTCAGAAGCAATTTGACTAAGCATGCCCGTCTGTGATGGGATTCCCAACCGGCAGGATGATTCTTAGAGACCGGAGAACATGGGGATTGACAGCAACCACTGCTTGGGTCACCTTCCAGGTTGGATCACTCTATCGGGATTGTTTCAACCATCTTTGGATGCAGTTCATGGTCCTGCAGCCATGTGCTACCTGTTGAGCTTTCTCTAGAAAGCTAGTGACCTCCATTAACAAACATTGGCTGGGGCCAGCTTGATCTCCTGTTCTTCTCCGATGGCCGAGAGCCAACCAAGTTAGTTAAGTAACCAACGGCAACCGAGACGGATTGATGGGGGACACCAAAAGCAAGTTACGGCTTTAGCATACCTGACTGCCTGGGCCGCCTTGAGCTGAAGAAAAAGGTCGTCTGAATTGATCAGCTCAACTACATCTATCAAAGAGACCTGAGTAACCTGTAGCAGGAAGCAAAATGATTGTCAGACCCCTCCACCACAAAGAAGCAAAAGGATTGTCAGAACACCACCACAAAGAGGTCATCAGGATGCTCCTGGCCACACCAGGTATCCAAGAACTTCATCTTCTGCTCAATACATGCTTTACACCTATTCACACTAATCCCCAAACAAGCCACATCATATAGTGGGCCACATGAACAAAGCATGGCAGAGTCCTCAGATCTTGTGAATCATCCCCCCCCACTCCAAAACTCTCCCATTCAGTGGTTCTGAACAGCCCTACTGGTGTACACAGATACTGAAGACGGGCTGATAAAACCAGGCTCCTTCCAGATGTGCAAGAATTCCAAACCCAGAATTCACAACTCATAGGAGTGAAATTCTGAACCTTACAATCCTGATCGGTTTAGACAGCATGGGTCGGAAAGGGCCCCTATAGAAAAAGGAGATTTGTCCCTAGATGCAATGCAGGCAGCCTTTGACTTACAACGGTTCATTTAGTGACCGTTCAGAGTTACGACTGAAACGTGTGACTTACGACCGTTTTTCACACTTACGACCTTTGCGGCATCCTTGGGGTCATGTGATCAAAATCCAGAGGCTTGGCAACTGGCATGTACTTATGACGGTTGCCGTGTCCCGGAGTCACGTGATTCCCTTTGGCGACCTTCTGACCAGCAAAGTCCGTGGGGAAGCCGGATTCACTTAACAAGTGTTATTAATTTAACAACTGCAGTGATTCCCTTAATGCCCATGGCAACAAAGGTCATGCAATGGGGCAAAAAACAAATGTTCCACTTAGCAACATAAATGATGGGCTCAGTGATGGCCGAAAGTCAAGGGCTGCTCGAACAAACCCAGAATTCACAGCCCATTTGAGTGACGTTCTGAACGTAGCAATCCAGAGAGATTTAGTCAGGATGGGATTTGTCCCTAGATGCAATATATTCTCGGGCTAAGATTCCACAGAGGGAGGTAAAACTTAACTTTTACTACGGAGCATTCCTTCGTATCGTGCTACCACCCCCCCTACCCATACCGACCACGTTCTTCTCGTCTTTCTCGGGAGACAGGCTGGCTTCCGCCAAAAAGCAGATGTTCCTTCGCTTCAAAATCTGTTCGTCTTTCCTCGCTTTGCGAAGCTCAACTTTCACCTCAATTTTTCGCCTCCGGATTTCCTACCAAGGAAGAGAGTCAGGCATTATGGATTTTAAAAACAGCCACACGATTGGAAGTGCAGAGAAGAAGAATAATTTGGGATGGTCAGGATTCAAGATCAAACGTCTTTGAGCAAAACCAATTCTAACCTGCTACTTGTCAAACTTCAGAGGAGGATAACCAACAGTGGCTATGTCTTCATCTAGAGAATAGAATAGAATAGAATAGAATAGAATAGAATAGAATAGAATAGAATAGAATAGAATACTGGAAGGGACCTTGGAGGCCTTCTAGTCCAGCCCCCTGCTCAAGCAGGAGAACCCATACCTTCTCAGACAATTTTGTGTTTATGTCTAGTTGGTTGATGGCCTGAGGACACTCCTGCCGCCTTGTTACCCTCCTAGCTTTTTGAACTTTGTTCCTTGATATTCAGCTGGATGGTTTAACTTGTTTTTAATTCTATTTTTAATCCCAAAGGTGTTTTTTTTTCCAAAAAGGCAACACGACTTTCTTGGGCTTTTTCTTTGAAAACCATTTAGCTTCTCATCCAAGAAGAACTGAAGAAGCTTCTTGGATGAGAAGAAAAACATTTTCAAGTGGGAAACCCCCCTGCCCCCAATAAAGTCCAGTTGCTTTTTTGGAAAAGCACCTTTGGGATGTCCTTGAATGATGGATAATCTCCATAGACATTCTATTTTTAACGTGTGCTTTTATTCACGTATTTGTGTGGTTTTATTACGCTGTTTATAAACTACCCACGATCACTTAGGTAACATAGGCATAGCCATAATTTACTAAATAAATGTCCATTGACTTTCTGTTTTATTTTACAAAATTGTGCATTTCTAAAAGTGGCCAAAGAAAGCTGGAGAATGAATAGGGTCTCCTGAATAGAAACACCCTTCTCTACACCACAGTGGATCAGAGCCTGCGTGAATACAGCCCCAGGTTGCAAGTCCCTCCTCCGATACCAGGCGTGTAAATTTTGCACTTTGACCCCTTCTGTTCCTGAGGAACCACTGGGTTTCACACGTACGTACTGCAAAATTTTTGCCTTTGTTTTTGAATTTCCTCATACGTCCATCGTGCTCATTTGTGGTAGGCATGATCCACGTTCTGCGGTCCAGACAGGTTTGGCCAGGTGTGTCTCTCCTTATACCTAAGTGAACAGAAGGAGTGTTAGCTCAGGAGCCCAACTCCACCAGCCACTACTCAACCTTAACCAAAGGGCCAGAAAACCTCTATTTCCTATAATGTGTTTTGCTTGCCCCAATATGGTTCTCCTAATGGATTTGGTAGCATTTCTAATCCACCCCAAATTCACGGTTTTAATGAGAGAGGAAAAGAGTGTTTCTTTTTTGCTTTGCAAGCTGCAGCCATTTAGTTTTGGGATGAGGCCACGGTGCTTTGGTCAAGTCAGAGAAGAGAGATTTTAAAAGGCAGGGCAGTTCGGTTTCAAACTAGGCTGAACTCATAGCACTTTGGACAACATAATTTCTAGCCCATGAAGGGCTGCAGAAATTACTTTAAAACAGGCTCAGGTGTTGTACTAACATTTAAACAAGTCAGTTACAAACCCACCAGTTCTACTGGCAATAGACACTTAAGTTTTCTTAATTTCTCACCTTGAGCAGGCGAGGTTTTTTCCTCTAACATACTTGGTGAATCCAGGGCACCTCATTATTGAGTAGTCTACTCTAAAGCTCCATGCAATCCCTTATGAGTTAATTCAACATCCAAGAATCAATTTGGTCTAGTAATTAAAACACCAGGCTAGAAAATGGGAGACCAGGAGTTCTAATCCTATCTTGCCATGAAAGCCAGCTGCTTGATTTGGGGCCAATCTCTCTCTCCCAGCCCAACCCACCTCACAGGGTTATTGTTAGGAAAAGAGGAAGGAGCCATATTAGGTATGTTTGCCACCTCGAGTTCTTTTTAAAAATACAGGTGGGATAGAAATAAAACAATAACATAACCCAGGTTAAGCATGCAGTTTAAGCACAGCCATTAAGAACCACTGAGTAAAAACACCTCAGAATTATATACAGTCCTTAGGTTTAAGGTGTAAGCAAACCTTCCCTTCATTTAATTATTTATTGTGTAATATCTGCATTAGCAAAACACAGAATAAATAACGTGTCTTGGGCATAAAATTGAATATATTTATAAGCTTCCTTCCGTGCCTCTGTTCCTAGTCCACAATAAATTAAAAAGCACGCAAAAAACCCCAACCAAATTACACCCTGGCTACTCACGTTATTCCTTGTACAAGCCGTTTTTACAGCTGCAGCCGCCCTGAAACATACTTAAATTTCCCGGGAAATGGGTCAATCACCCACTCTCGTCTTTTGATTGGTTCACACCTCCAAGAAGCTCCGCCCCTTTTCAGGGTTTGTTCTTAACAAGCCGCCGGGAAAACAACTGCGGGCGAGTGGGTTCCCACTGCGCCTGCGCAGGACAGGTATTTTTTTATTATTTTTGCACGTGTGAATTGTTGCTTATCAAGCAACAATAATGATGGGCGATAGTTCAAAATTGCAGAGCAGCGTTGATTGGCATATTCACCTGGAAGAAATCCCCTTTGAATGCAATAGGATTACTTCAGAGTAGACCCCTAAAGGTTTGGATCCCCTTACGTTCAATGGGGTTTACTCGTAAGTTCAAGACTTCAGTTTTGCTTTTTCATTCTTTCCGATGGACCCACTTTCTGAATTGACTTTAAAAGAGAATATTTATAGCTCAGGGTTGAAACGAGGGGTCCTTGATATCCTCTGGGCTGTTTTCTTGCATTTTGTGACCCAACTAGGATACATCATCAGTGCTAGAACGTGATGATGTTACCTAATTTGGTCACGAAACATCTGCAAGAAAACAACCCAGCTCGGAGAGGACTAAGGACCCCACAGTTCTCCTCCACTCCATAAAACCCCACTCCTTTCTAGCACTTTCTAGTATGGGTAATGAAATGTCAGCAAGGAAACAGCCAATCTCAGAGAGCACCAAGGACCCCTAAATTCACTTTTATTTATCTTCCAGCACAATTGATTAAATCCTTCCTCCAAAGAGCAGCCCAATGGATTCGGGTTCAAATAACGTGTCCTGGGTCACAACTGATTTGAGGAATCACTATTTCCATGCAAACCTTGAAAACTGGCTGAACTGGTGAAACCAGGATCTGGTTCACCATGAGTTAGCAAGGGAACATGTGCTAGTAAACATGGTTTTAACCAAGTCTCTGGCCTAATGAATTCCAAGGAGGGCGTTGTGGACCTACAAGATGCCACCTTGGAAATAATTTCAGAAGAGCAATTTTGAAGAAGAAAGAAACTATCCTTTTTCAGACCACCATCTGCTTTTCTGCCAATTATAACAACACACCGTTGCCCAGGCAATTCCAGACTTTCTTGGCATGGGTTAACCATCTCTCAAAATAGATGTTTGGACAAGTGCTTTGTCCTTCTTTGGACCAAATTTCAGCTTGCTCTGGAGCTAGAAACCCAGCGGGAATACTATGACTGGGTAGCAACAGCTGGGAATGACCTTGCCCCATCAAAATAGAAGCCTCTGCCTTCCTTGGCATTTGTCTAGGGGCTAAGAAAGCACCTGCCAAGGAGAAGAGCCCAGCTAACCTTTCGTTCAGAGGGAAGAGGAAGAATGGTGGAGGGCATGGCTTTTTGGGGAGAAGGGAGGGAAGGAGGGAGAGGACGGGAAAGGAAAGGAAAGAAAGAAAAAGAAAAGAGGAAGGAAAGATGATGGGAAAGAAAAGAAAGAATGGAACAGGAAAGGAAGAAGATGGAAAAGGAAGGAAGGAAAAAAGGAAGTGATGGAAAAGAAACAAGAAAAGAAAAAAAAGAGAAGGAAAGCCAAGCAAAGGAGGAAGGAAGGAAGATGAAAAAGGGAAAGGGAAGGAAAAGAGGAAGGAAGGAAGATGATAGAGAAGGAAGGAAGGAGTAACCCAACCCTATTTCACCCTGTTTGTCACATGCTCCTCCTAACCTCCCCAGAGCTAGTTCAGAATAACAACATCACACCACAAAACAAATATTAACTGTTCTCACATGCTAAATAAATATGAACTCTCCGCACTTTGGAAAAGTATTTAGGTGGGCGTGGAAGAGTTTGTGCCTTAGTTCCTTTTAACACTGACTGACCACAGGTCTCTGTTTTCAGCCATTCCTCCACCTGAGCTTTTCTTTCCCATAAATTATCCTCTCTGGTTGCACTCATTCATCTGGGGTCAGCCCCATGGAGTTCAAGGAAATTGACTTTTGAGTAGAACTGCATAAGCCACCGTTTCTCCCCCTGGGTAACCCCAAGGTGTGTGGACTTCAACTCCCAGAATTCCTCAGCTAGAATTACAGTACTCAAAAATAGATCTTACAATCCCACTCTTATTGCTGGAAAGTTGTGTTTGGGGGCTTGTTTTGTTTTTTTATTACTGTTACCACCTGCTTGTTAGTAATTAAAAGAGAATTTTTGGGACAGGTCCATGCCGAAGAAAGAAGTAGTATTTCTGAATAAATCTGCCTGAGGCTTCAATCATGATCAAGGTACCTACAAGTCATGTCAAATCATTGGTTTTCGGTTGCGTTGTAGGAGAGCCAGGCAATTCCCAGCTGAGTTTGACAAAAACAAAACAAAACAAAACAACTGCTCATGCCTTTGGCATTAAAGGTATTCCTGGATTCCACCAAGTTGGGCTAGCTAGGCCACGGGGGAAATGGGCTGCATGGGAAGCATGCTTTACATTGAAGTAACAACTGAAGGGGTGCCTTGAGAAGAGAAATCTGCAAGGCAGGAGAGTCTATTTCAGACTTCCCCAGTCCCTTGAGTGGCAAAGAGAAGCCTTCAAGATGCCCTAGAAGGAGATGGACGGGGAGGAAAAACTCGCAAGAAGTTGTTGCATTATTTGATCTCTCCTGAGGGAGATGATCCTGATCCAATGAGCTTTCTCTTGACAAAGACCCTGACACTTGCTAGGAGAAAGTGATAGGACACATCAGAAGGTATAAAAGAAACCAGCCAGTCATCAAGTAAACACACCTTTTGGTTGCGTGTCTTCAGGAGGTACTCCTAGTTGGAACTGTGGCGTGGGAACAGGATAGGAGGGATGACAGAACAAAGCTGGGATTGGATAGATGGATGGATACATGGATAAATAAATAGGTGGCTATCTTAAGTCAGTTTCCCCTTCTCTTCCAGGAACTTTGTGGATTGCGCTCTTCTCTCAGTCTTTTCTTCCTTTTTGGATCCATCCTGCCCCTGAATCCAAGCCAACATGCCTGGCGGGTACAAAGGAGAATGTGGGGATGATGTTGACCCCATGCCTTTCTTGGCTCCCGGCGAGAAGGAGAAGCTTGAAGCCATCAGCAAACCGTACGACATCAAGAAGTCCTGTTGGGTGAAGGATGAGAAAGAAGGCTTTGTGGCTGGAGAGATCCAATCAGAAACTGATACTCAAGCCACGGTGAAGACGGTGACCAATCAGGTGAATTGATAGGAAGGGAAAACTCCATTCGGACTTTGTATGTCTCTCGGGTTAGGGACCGGGCAGGGTTGCTCAAATTAAGGGGCCATAACTTGCAGGGAAGATGTGATAGAACTTGTTTTGAATGTTGCATGGAGTGTCTAATGGCTGAAGTTTCCATTTATTAATCACAACAGAAGACAGATAATGGTTAGAAGGGTCTTGGAGATATCTAATCCAACCTCTTGCCCAGTGCATGAATCCACTATTACAGCATTCTTGACAGACGGTCTTCCAGGATCTGTTGATGTATCTGCAGAGAGCTCTCCATCTCTCAAGGTAGATTGTTCCACTGTTGAACAACCTTTAGCGTTAGGGAGTTCTTCCTGGTGTCCAACCAGAATCAACTTCCTTGTCTTTGAAACCCACTATTTCTTATCTTCAGGACAGAGAAAGGAACTGGAGCTTTACACGAGTTTCCACATTTGTGAATGTATTTCATTTGAGTGCTACCTGACCCCAGAAATTACCCTGGGAAGCTCACAGCTGTCTTTTTTCTCCCACAGACGGTGACCATCAAGAAGGACGATGTCCAGCAAATGAATCCACCTAAGTTCTACCAGGTCAGCGATATGGCCAACATGACTTTCTTGAATGAAGCCAGTGTCTTGGATACCCTCAGGCAGCGTTACATCATGATGAGGATCTACGTAAGTGGGAAGATGGGTGGAAGCATTTGAACTGCTTGGAGACTTATTGATGAGTTGGATCTTCCTGCTCTTATCCAGACCATGTTAAAATGGGACTGGAAGCTGATCCTAACCATCTTGTTCTCCTTTTAGACATATTCTGGTCTCTTCTGTGTCACCATCAACCCTTACAAGTGGCTACCCATCTATGGGGCACGTGTGGCCCAGATGTACAAGGGCAAGAAGCGTACGGAGGTGCCTCCTCACCTCTTCTCCATCTCTGACAATGCCTACCATGACATGCTTATGGGTGAGTGCTGAGAAGATCCTCAAAGGTCCTTTAACGGTTGTAGGAATTGCCCATGTCTAGTTTAATGAAAAGAAGGACTAGGTGACCTGATAGGAGTTTTCCAATATTTGAGAGGTTGCCACAAAGAAGAGGGGGGGGGGGTCAACCTATTCTTCAAAGCACCAGAAGGTAATACAACAAGCAATGGGTGGAAACTAATCAAGGAGAGAAGCAACTTAGAACTAGGTTATAACTTCTAACTTCCTAACAGTGAGAACTATTAATCAATGGAATGAGTTGCGTCCAGAAGTTGTGGGTGCTCCATCACTGGAGGATTTTAAGAAGAGATTGGACAGCCACCTGTCTGAAATGGTATAGGGTCTCCTGCTTGAGCAGGGGGTTGGACTAGAAGACCTCCAGAATCCATTCCAACTCTGTTATTCCATTATTCTGTAAGAGTCCTCTCTTTGTCCCTTGTTCCGTTTATGCAAACCAAGCAAGAGTAACCAATTCTGCAAGGGTCCTAAGACTCATGTAGTCCTATTCTTATTTTCAAAATCCCCATGAAATCAATCACATTATGGATCTGGAAAGTATGGTCGATTCCTTTTCTAGCAACCTGTTGGGCAAGGTGCAATGAAGAATTGCAAGAGATAAAAACAATAGGGAGACTTGCTTAGGGTTTGTCATTACCCACAGCATTATAGGTAATCTCGTCCACCCTGCTTGCTGCTTCCCAAGAATTTATTTGGATCATTGGCTATTGATCAATTCCATGGGATTTAGGGGGGGGAAGCAGATCACCCAAGTGTTCTCTTTCTCTCTTCCTCCGTAGACCGCGAAAACCAGTCTATGCTCATCACGTAAGTGGCCCTATTTTCTTCCTGTATATTCCGTACTAAAATATTTATAAGATGGCTTGGTTTTGAATGCTCTACATCCCGTACAAAGAAAAATAAAAGCATATCGTATGAATAAGGCGACCAAATTAATAATAAAAAAGTACAGCTTAAAACCAATTTCCTGGCAACAGAGGCTAACGAGAAAGCTTATTGTAGGCATCAAGAAGTGTTTCCAGAAGATGTTTTTTTTTCTTTTTTCTGAGCTAGTAAGAAAGGGATACTATAATTTCATTTAGGTAGTAAATGCTACCTCTTGAAGCCATTCCGAACCATTTTTCAGAGGGTCCCATCCATTTATACCCTATACTCATTTTTGATCGGTGAGTTCAAACTACAATCAATCAACCCTGCAAGGTAGGCTGAGCTGAAAGTCTTGACTCACTCCGATTCTCCCAATGAGCTCCAGAATTTGGAAAGATGCTTGTGCAGGTGTGTTTGTGGGATCCCGGATCTTCCTATTTCAAATCCAGCAAATTCTTTTAAATCCATTTTACTTCCTTTTGTTTTGTTTTTTTGCTAAATCGAGAGATAAATTTGGGGCTGAATTGTGATTATAACTCAAGAACCACCTGTGCTGACATAGCTCTCTTCCTTTACCTGTAGTGGAGAATCTGGAGCTGGCAAGACTGAGAACACGAAGAAAGTCATCCAGTATTTTGCCAACATCGGGAGCACCGGCAAAGCCTCCGCCGATGGGAAGGTAAATCCAACCGAGGTTATCCGGTCGCAGAGGAAACAACGGACCACGATAAAGTGGTTCTCCCCAAATAGCGCGACCTCTTTAAGCTGTCCCAGAATGCTCCTTGGTGAAGAGAAGATGATGGTCTTTCTTTTGGGGACAGGGATCTCTGGAAGATCAAATCATCCAGGCCAACCCCGTCTTGGAAGCTTTTGGAAATGCCAAAACAACTAGGAATAATAACTCGTCTCGCTTCGTAAGTATCTGAGCTTGAAACAGTGCCTTCCGTCCCCTTTTCCCACTC